AAATTACTATTTTATCACAAAATAATCAAAAATAACAAAAACGGGAATTTTTAAATAAAACCTGTAGGTAAAGGTACTGTTGAATTTTTATTTTGGTTTACTTAAAATTCAAAAACGAATCCCCATGAATCATAAAATTTCATCATTTGTTCATTTTATCATTTTCTACGCATATTAGCTAGGTTAGTTTTAATAAAAACGATTAAATTAAATKAACTATTTTTGGGTTATATAATATAGATATATTTKACATTTTTAATTTAATACAAAATTAATCATTTATCGTTTTCTAATAGGTTGTAAAAATACCAAAAATACATAAAAGTAATTTTGTTAGAGTTTAAAGATAAACATTTTATTACAAAAATTATGRAAATTTACAAAATATTTTACAAATAAAGTGTTTTAGGTAGGTACCTAATACTTTTAACTATGGAAGTATTGCTTGAAAATGTAAAACAAATTTAAAATTCCTCATAGGCTGTTCTTGCAAAAACTGAAATAAAAATAAATGGGAACCTACACACTAATCTTTTTTTGCATAGACATTCAACTTTAAAGTTAAAATTTTGAAGAAATTTGATATTAAAATAAAAATGCCAGTTTTAGTTATTTTCTTGTAATACACAAAACGATTTTTGAAATATTTGAAATACATTTTAAGCTTCGTAATATAGTACCACAAAACTATTCACAGTGTTCTTATGGCAATAACTTAAAAATTAATGAAACAGTTAATAATATTATTGTATGTATCTTGTTATGTCTTTCAAATAATTGTTGAGCTGTAATAGTTAAACTGAAAGCTAATAAAAAAATATTATTAAATATGTTGTTTTTGGAAAATTCGATTCAACCTACTCATTATGTACGCCCATTTAGTGGCGCAAGGAATTCACATAATTCACGCTTTGAAGAATGAAAAATTCAAATTTTTTTTAAATTCCTTTTTAATGATGGTCGATTGGGAACACTATATGTCACATAACGAATGACTGTAAGATTATAATAATATAGGAGATTGATTATTATTATTTAACTATCAAAATCAGATGATCAAACGTTTTGAAACTTTATAATATTAAGTATACAGATACAGTATATCTAWAATGCAATTTATGATAGTAMTTAATATWAAAATACTGATAMATGATTTTTAGATAATTTCAACAGCTTTTATTTTTTTATTATATATTTTATAATGCATAATATGATACCTGTTTATAAATTATTGACCATCAATTAAAATTGCTGTTATAAAATATTATTTGGTAACAAAGCAAATTCGTTTTTCTTATTTAGATTTATTTTTGTTTTTTGCTTTTAAATGTATTTGTCACCTAAATGTTTACMACCTTGAACATTACGTTATTTATAATAGAAAACAGCAGAATATCTCTAGAAATATAGTCTGATTCCGGTCTCCACTCAAAATAATTTTTCGTATCTAGTTATTTATCATTGAATTCAAATTTAACATATTCATAATCCATTGCGGAGACCTACTCAATGATTAAAATATGGCATATACACACAATTTTTCATACTGTAACGGAGCGGCTTCACTGRTTTCTTTTATTGAATATATTATAAATTTAACACTATTGACAATCCATAAAATTTTTACTGCCTTTTTAGTTTTACTGTGAATGCGTGTCAATGATATATTTTATTGGCATTCAACTTATGTCGATTATTAATCAACATAATTAAGTAATAGATTGAAAAACTAAATAAAAATAACCTTATAGAAACTCTTGGCATGAGACGTTTTTTTTGTATGGTAAATATACTGCATTATACTGCCCCGTTCTGCTTTGTGCTAAAATATTACTGAAAATGAAACCATACTATTAATACAAAAATATGAAAAGATATTTAGTATTATAGAAGAAAAACAATGAATCAAAAGTACGAAATCCGAGTAATACATTTAACTTTACTTAACTGTATAACTAGGTAATATAATTTAACATTAATAGTTAAATGCAGTAAAAAAAAAATTTAAACAATGGAGAAAAAAAACTTGTAACTGTCCATTAATAAAAAAAAATAGTTATCAATAGTCAATTATGTTCGGCGTTTTTAATACTATTAATATAATATTTTACATAAATAATTAATGATATGCAACGCAATATRTTTTTCCRTATAAAAAAATGTCCATATCACCATATCCCAGGTTTTGGCCCGCTTTCCTTATAAATAGAAAGTCGTTTATCTGCTTCAGCATTTGAGTATGTGACYTCATTCTTCATACTTAAATTAAATTCTAAAAAAATTAAATGTTGAACAGGTTTACTGGTATCAATCAGTGACGACGAACCCAAATACRTYCCCTTTGTAGCGGTAACTTTTGCAAAACTTTTATTAATTTATAAAGGTGCTATGGATTTTTTTGAGTAATCAGAATAGTTATTGTGTAAATTTCGTCCAATGACCAATAATAATGGTCAAGATTTAGTAGGACATTTTCATATTTTTTTCAGTGTAAAATGATTACTGCTACCTATCTTGAGATTGTCGAACAACAAATTATCTAAACTATCRTCTGTTTTCAATTTCTATTAATTAATAATCAAAGTGCAACTACATGGAACCTATTTAGCTTTTTAGTATCACTAAAAGTACTCTTTGATGTAAAAGAAAATAATTAGTAAAAATAATGTGCTTGCTTAACTATTATAACTGTGGCGTTTGACTAATAATTTCAAATACCACTTTTAATGCTTTTACACTAAGTAAGTACAATTACTTTTTGTTTTATATGTATAAATAGTAATACTGTAGTACCATTATCACTTGTTTGCTCATCATCTTTGCGACATTTCGTAGAAATTCAAATTTTTCTGTGCGCAGTCGTATACCAATATAAACGTACCCAAAATTAAAACCGTACGTAATCGTATGTTGTACCGAATAACACGCAATACTAACTCGTAATCCGAAGTTGAACGAGTGGCCTACACATGTAGTCACTCTGTCCTGTCTTGAAGTATACGGAAGTGGGTATATATATTTTTTTACTTTTAAGATTACATAATTAGTATTTAGTACCTATATAATATAATAATATATATCTCATTACACACATAACATTATTATCTATTTAGATAATAATAATAATATGTTTATTTGCAAATAAATGTCTATATTGTACATGATGTATAACTCGAATAAGTATAACGTAACTTACTTTGTATAAATAAAATAAAAATAATAATAAAAGAAGAGTCTGTAATATTTGAAGCCATTTGGTATTAATATTTAATAAACAAAAATTACTATTTTAAAATAAAATATCGTGTTTATACAATTTCAATAGATACTATTTAAATATATATGTTTTAAATCATACAAATCTAAAATTGAATATATTAGTTTTAAGAATACTGCATAAAATGATATAAGAATATAATTATTTKCTTCAAATTGTTAATTGCGTCGAGAACTTAAACTAGGTATTATTATTTACTGTTATTATAAAATTTTTTTTTACTCATAATTCGTGATGATGTGGCATGCTTAATCATTATTGGTATATTTTGGCTTATTTAACATAATTAGGCTATTTAAATTTAATTTTAATGAAGAGGTATGAGAGCCATACAGGGCTGACCCCGTAGAATTATAAGATTATTATTTAGAATTTATAAATATATATTTCATTTTATTTCTATACTTTTTATATAATTAAAGATATAAAATAATTTGAGTATTTCATTGGTTACTGCATTTATATTATGATGATCCCATTTAAATGTATTATCCAATTCAATTTTGGGCATTTAGATTTATTTATACAGATTTTAAAACTATACAACTATTTTTAGGGGTATTATAATAATTGCTTGAAGACCTTAATTATGAGTATTTTAAATATCGGATATATTTTTTCAGACTTTATGTTGAAAATATATTTTGATTTATCTAAATTTTAAATGAATTTTAAAATTAAAACAATTGTTTTATCCATAGTCATGTATTGATTACCTATATCAAATATTATGGTACCTATGTCGTATGTKGTAACTGGTGGCATTGTAATTGCCTAATGAATACAAATAAATTAATACATTAACGGGTGGTTAGTTAGGATTTGATTTAATTAATTTTCTATAATTCGAGTAATTAAGTTGAAGCTAACTTTTATTATTATTTTAAGTGGACAATGTCAGTTATAAATAAATGGTCGTGATAAATATAAAGTATAATAAGAAGTTACCTACATGGCTATATTATATATTTTATGTATTTCAAATTAATTTCCACTCATAATATTTTCATTTCATCAAACATACATCACACATATTATATTATAATATTATATTTTTATAATTTTATTTGCATAATAATAAGGAAATCCTTAATACTTATAAATACTAAATAGTACTTATATTTTATATAATCAATGGTTATGTATAAAGTGACATAAACTTACGTCGTAGTGTCGTACAGTGTATAAACCTACTTGTGTTGTTAGATGTTTGGTAAAATAATTAGTAAATTAGAATAGGTACATTAAACAGAATACATTTTTTGTCTGTCTTAGACATTAATACATTATACTTATAATTTGCTGGAAAATTAATTAGGTACAGAACATTAAATACTAATCATTGATAAAATAAAAAATATTTCCATTCCATTGCAATCGATAAAAAAACATGTACCTATGTAAGTTCCTTAAAATGATAAACCCAGTTGAGTTTATATTCTTGGTTTTTGAAAACTGGATTTTCGCTAGTATGAGACAGAAGTATATCGCATATAAATTATATATTCATAGTCATGTTCTCACGTAAGTATCATAATATTATAATTATGAAAATACTGAAAACAAAATGGAATTATAAGGACATAATAATTAATTTATTGTCTTATAATTGATGATCTTCAAGTTATCTTTTTTAATTTAATTGTCTATGACGATAAGATAAAATAATAATTATTCTAGATTGTGATAAAATGAATGATTATTTGTATATAAATCATAATAACCTTTAAATGATTTTCTAATCGTTATATAAACAAATATATAATGCACCTGCAGATACCTACTTGAATATCAATGACTAATGTCAATACATTTTATTTATTCAAAGGCATATAAAATGAATTTGTATTTTGTAGAAGCGTTATTGCACAATACTTGATGAAAGCTCTGATTATTTAACAGTACACCAGGGTCAAAAATATAATTTGGGGTAGGGGTTTTGGTATTACATAAAAATATTTTTAAAAGTATTATTTTCCCTCCATCTACATTGGTTAACGTGATGACATGCGCGTCTTACTTAGTGCCATTCACAAAACTACATAAAACATATCGATGAATCACGGTGGGGCCGAGTATAAAATCAGTGTGTCGGAAGTGAGTGAAAGCGAAATCTCTTCCACAGCTCTACGTTAACAAGTGAACTCCAAGTATCAGGTAATTTTGTATTYATTAATAATACAATTATTAAATTTTTATTTATGAATATTAAATT